CCCCCCCCGCAAAAAGAAAGAGAAATAGAAGAAGAGGAAGAGATTAGAAGCAAGGCTAGAGGACAAGGGAAGAGTATGGGAACTTTGGGAAACTGGTGAAGAAGACAGGAGGGAAAGAAAGAAGAACAAAATAAAAACAAGAATGGAACAGAACAACAATAAAAACTAGAAACTGTGTTCACACTCATGTAAAAATGAAAACAAGCAATAAAGAAAAAGAAAAGAGAACAGAAAAGAAAAAAGTGTCCACTTCTAGACACGTCTCTGCTGTCACTGGTAGAGTCACTGAGTGCTGTAATTACAGATGTGTGCCACCATCCCTGGCTCAGGGCCTCATTTTCAACGTAAGGACTTCCCCATAATTCTACAACTCTCAGGGCACACCAGTTTTGTTATTGCTTTTGCAATCAGAAGATGCCAGGCGCGGTGGCACACAGTGTGGACAGAGTCCAAATCTGAGCGGATTAATCCCTGTAAGCCAGCTGTAGCTTTGTGGCAGGGTAGTGGATAGTCCCAGAGAGACTGCACCTTTAGTCCCATTTGAATTCAAGCTGGTTTCTGGCTGTGAGGCCAACTAGATTTGTTGGGCTCCCTGACCTCCTCCTGACTTAAATTTAGCTCCCTTACCCTATCACTGGGAGCCACTAGATGGAGTAAGCCTGTAGCTGCTCTGAGTTCCAAGCTCAGAAACTTGAGAGTCAGCCCCTCTCCAGCATGGCTACTAGCCAGTCACACTCTCCTTCAGGACATCTGAACCAGAGTAATTCACCAGCCACTGTAGTGTGCTGAGTGCTCCATTCCACTGGTGCGTTTTACTCTGTAGAAGCCTCTAGGGTCACCAGTAGTCACCATGTGTCTGTAGGTTCAAATCACTCCTCCCATGTAGTAAGTCTGGGCTCAGGGAGAAAGCACCACTTGCCTCGTCCTTCTGCATTGAAGTCTCTTTCTATACTCACCCTGTGGGCTTTAATTCTTGCTTCAGATCCTTCCTGGGTCCAAGGGACCTACTTCCCTCCTGTTTCTCTTCCTCATGTTGCTATATTCCAGTGTCTGGACATCAACTCTTGGAGAGGAGCTCTCTTCTGCTCACCACTCTGCCATCTTCCTGGAAGTCCTTTAACCCTACTGATTGGTTTGATTAGATGTGGATATTAATGTTACTCATTTCCTTTTTACCTTAAACATTTCCATATTTAAGTGGGCATTTTTTGGTTGTTTTATTTTATTTTATTTTTTGAGACAGAATCTCACTATGTAGTTCAGGCTGGCCTTGAACTCACTATATAGCTCAAGCTGGCCTCAAACTCATAGCAGTCCTCCTGCCTCAGCCTCCCAAATCCTGGGACTATAGGCGTGTGCCACCATGCCTGGCATCTTCTGATTTCAAAAGCAGTAACAATGCACTGAGAGTTGTAGAATTATGGGGAAGTCCTTATGTTGAAAATGAGGCCCTGAGCCAGAAATGGTGGCACACATCTGTAATTCCAGCACTCAGGAGGCTGAGGTGGCAGGATCACAAGTCCAAGGCCAGCTTCAGCTATATAGTGTGTTTGAGCCTGGCCTGTACTATGTGTAAGATCCTGTCTCAAAAGGCCTTTTAAAAAGTTATGAGAAAATTCACAGAAGAGATAAAAAACAAGTGAAGCAAATGAAAAGATGATCAATTAAAATTACATTAATGTGCCTTTTTAAAACCTTTTAGCCCAAAACCAGACATGGTAGTGATTCTGGGAACCTGAGGTAGGAGAATCACAAGTTTAAATCCAGTCTGAGCAACTTAGTGACTTTTATTTTGAGAACTTGTCTCAAAATAAAAAAGAGCTGTGGCTATAGATCAGTATAAATGTCCTGGGTTCAGTCCCCAGTACTGCTGGCAGTGGCAGGGAGAGGGTCTTTTAGATGCAAAGTTCAAAAGTTTGGTGACATAAAAATAATAGAGCTATGAGAAATATGAACTCTCAAACATTGCTTTGAGATATATAAATTAGTACGTCTGCTATAAACATGTCCTAAGAAGATAAGAAATTAACAGTGGCTTTATTTGGGGGAAGAGTGGTAGGCATACTGCTGTACTACTGCTTCCTGCTTTGTTCAGTTTCTAAATAAAAAAGTCCCTTGTTAATAACAGCCTGATGGGGTTTTTTTAATTTCTTCTTCTTTTTTTTTTTGAGACAGAGTCTCACTATGCAGTTCAGACTGACCTTGAGCTCACTTTGTAGCCCAGGCTGGCCTTGAACTCACAACGATCCTCCTGCCTCAGCCCCTTGGGTACTGGGACTACAGGTATGCACCACCACACCTGGCTTTAATCTCATTTTACCCCATGAAATAGAGCAGGGAAATGAATTCCCTTGTCCCTGCCCTTAGACTTTTGTATAGTTCAGGCTTCACTTTAGATGAACAGTTTATACTGTGCTATTAACTGGCTGAGGGTTCTTTTGCTCAATTCAGATAGAAATCACAATTAAGCAACGTGCAGCTCTTTTGGTGTTAGCAGCCCTGAGTTTTGAGGGCCAGTAGCTATCAGCTCTTAAAGTTAGCGTCCCTCTGCCACTCCTGTGGCTGCCAGGGCCAGAAGCTACTGGCAGCCCAAGGGAGCTCTTCTGGAGCCTGGAGACGGCAGCCCCTGGCAACTCTCCATTGCTCTCCCTCCTGCTCTGGCTGCTGGTCACCCTCAGTATCACCAGGCCTGGATGTTGGCTGCTTGCTGTGCCGGCAGCCTCTAGTGTTACCAGCTCTCTGCATACCCGCTCAGCCTGCTCTAATCAAGACAGAAATCATGAATAGGCAAAAATGTGCCGCCCAAAGGAGGCTTTATTAGGACTTACACACAGCAGCGACTGAGCAGCTCAGTATACAGGGAGGTCACTTATGTGGCAGCAATATGTGGGCGCATATGCAGTTCCTGCCAGCTAACTTCAGACTTTCTTACTTACAGGTAGGGGTGCACTCCGAGGCCTGACTGAGGGAGCCACGGGGGGCAGGGTCCTCCAGAGAGGGTGGAGTCAGCCGGCCGGACCTGTGAAGGAAGCTTGCTCCAGCCAAAGCAAATGTCTCCCAGCGCAGCCATGGGGTATCTGAAGTAGCTATGGCGGGCTGCTGTGGCTGCTGTGAGGTTCTGGGGGCAGCTGTGAGAGAAAAATACAGATAAACAGAAAATACCTCTTGAACATTGAGCTCTTCTCTCCTGTCTCACAGAGAAAGTTTTCATGTGCGAGTTCCTGGTGAGAGCAGAGGACTTAAAGACTGTGGCTTGCCAGAACCTCCCTTGTTGTCCTGGCCAGATGATTGCTGTCTTGGTGTAATCTTGGCCAGGGCGGGGGTGTCATTTTCCTCCTGCCTTAGGTAAGATAGATTGAAATGGAATAGGCTGTCTACTGCTGGTGTGTAGCTAGTACAAAGGAGTCCTTCACATCCCCTGCCCGTGAAGTCCCCTTCTTTTTCCCTTTCCTGCTGTCACCCATCATACTCCTTGATGTCATTCCTGCCATTGTGAGCTGACAGGCCCCCCAGCCCGGGACGCCCTATAAGTAAGGAGGGCAGTAGAGCTGTGGAGGAAGAGGGACAAGCGGTCACACCAACACCTTGGAGTTGGGCTGGGTCTACGTGGAGCCCCAGAGATGCTCCCCAGCCCATTCTTCCCAAGAACTGATGAGTAAAATTAGGGGCCTCTCTCCTGAGTTCAGGGAACCATGCTCTGGAGTGGAACTTGGGGTGGAAAACGGCCTTCTTTGTCAACTGATTCATTCTCCAGAATTCAACTTGTTCTCCAACTCAGTGGTGTTTGAAAGCAACTTTATCCAGGTATCCCTGTGCGTTTTAGAGCAAGCTGTCGTCCCCTTTCCCAAAACTGTTCCTAGGCCTTGGTCAGAAAATGCTGTGAACTTTGAAAGCCCTGGGGAAAAGAAAGAAGCCACCAAAGCCAGAGCAAAGTAGTGGGTCTGGGTCCCAAGTTCACTTCGCTTTATGCCTCCAGCATGAGGGAGCTGCCTGCAGGTTGTGTGCCTTAAGAAACCACATTCCGACCTTATGGAGAAGGTATCAGAGCTCTGTCTAGAGGCAGATCCACAGGGCTTCTCCCACCTGGATGCTTTCAGAGAATGAAGGCTGCAGTTGGAAACCCTGCTCTGAGATCCAACCTGCCCTCTCTGGCACAATTGAGAAGCAGCTGTGTTGGTAAGCAAGGGCTGGGTTGGTGATGGTGAGCCTTTTAGAGACCGACTGCCCAAATTCCTACCCAAAATCCACTTACTGCAAAGGGCCACACTGCAATTAAACCTGAACGCTGAGGTTTTAGTTTAGAAAAAAAAAAAAAAAAAACCCAAAAAAAAAAAAAAAAAGAAAAAACTCATACCCTTGGCTCTCAGGCTGACAGGGAGGGTTGTTTGTGTCTGCTCTGGCTCATGTTCTACAGGTTCACTACTACTGCCCTAGGTGACTTGGCCTTGCCTCGATCCTGCCACCCTTCCAAAGAGTGGTGATATGACAAATGGAAGCAAGCATTTGTGGCCTAGGGAAGCACGGAGTACGGGATGGTTGTCTGAATAGGTATCAAATCTTGAGCCAGTTGTGGTAGCACACGACTGCCCAAATTCCTACCCAAGCACTCTGGAGGCTAAAGCAGGAGTATCCTTGTGAGTTCAAGGTTAACCTGGGCTACAAAGTGAGCTCAAGGCCAGCCTAAACTGCATTGTGAGACCCTGTCTAAAAAAGAAAAAAAAAAAAAACAACTTACCCAGGTGCTACTTGCCTCCTGCACAGCCTCTAGCCTGACCTTGTTCACCTGTGCTCCTTTGCAGTGTGGTGTAACCAGCTAGCCAGCAAGCAAGCACATGCTAAACACCTGCTGTGCACAGCCCAGGAGATGCAAAGAACATCACATAGTCTTGGGCAAGAAGCTTATGGTTTGGCTCACTAGTTACTATAAAATAGTAACTGTTCAAACACGCTCTGTGTCAGTGAGTTTGGACCAGCTGATCCCCATGACATGAGCACAGAGAGCAGGTGCTGGGGGCACCTGGGGCATTCTCTCTGGACTTTGGAAGTTGCAGACAGCCTCCCAGAAAACAGGGTGTCAGGCCCCTCTTTGAAATATTGCTGAGACTCTGGTAAGAAGGGGCAGGGGGTTCCAAACAGAGAGCATTCAAAGATCCAGGGAGACTGGAACGCACAAAGGCTCTGTAGGATAAAAGCCCACTTGGATGGAGTGGGAAAGTGGCACAGAGTTGTAGGAGAGAAGATGGGACTGCTCTGGGCCTAACTCGGAGGCTCTTCACAGAGCGCAGAGCACAGAGCTACTCTCTATGTGGTCCCCAGCTTGTGAGAGCTTGTTCATGGCTCATAGCACTCCATGTCCCTCACAGCCCCAGGGAGACGAATAGTTAGGGAATCAGCTGGCACGCCTGCAGCGAGCTCATTGCTAACACAGGCGGAGAAGGAGCAGTGACAGGATCCAATTTCTTTTTTTCTTTCTTTGTTTTTTTGAGACAGAATCTTGCTATGTAGTTCAGGTTGGCCCTGAACTCACTATAGAGCCCAGGTTGGCCTTGAACTTGCAGCAATCCTTCTGCCTCAGCCTCCCGAGTGCTGGGATTATAGGCATGGGCCGCCACACCCAGCCTGGGCTCCAATTTCTAGTCTTTTCTCTTTGGCTATGGTGTCTTGTCATCAGGTATGTTCTCTTTGGTCTAATATTAAAATTGCTTACATTCTCTGAGTGGACACTAGATTCGACCTGCAGAGTTACAGTTTTGGCACTGGTTCACTGCTTCCTCTTTCCCCTCACCTCCACATCAGCATTTCCTCTACCACCGTCACCTCAAAGGAGCATATGCCCCAAACATTCCTGGAGCACTTACTCTCAGGGTGTGACGTCCTCTATGTTCTGGGAAGAGAGTGAATTTCATTCCATAACATGGGCTCCAAGAAATGTCACTCTTTTCCCCAAAGTCAAAATTCATTTCTCTTGGAGCACCGTGGCCAGGCTGACAGAAATTAAATTTCAGTTGTTCCTAGACCTTTTCCCTTGTCCTCAGTTCCACCAGGGACTGTACCAGGGTTCTGACAGCTTTACAAAATCTCTAGCATTTGGAGAAGGCCAGCGGTCTTGGGAACACAGGGTGTCTCCTCAGATGTCCCTCCCTTGCCTGGTTCCTGTGGTTCCTCAGGGAGCACAGCTCTGGAGACTTTCTGCCAGTGAGCTGAGACACTGTGTCCCAGCCAGGCGTCCAGTCTCCCTGTGCTGATACGGCCTCTGGGTGCTTCAGAACAGGTCCTTATGATACACAAGGCTTGGCCGCCTGCTGTCTCTCCCCCATCCCCAGGGAAGCTTGCAAACTGCTCTCAACTTGAGAGTTGAGAGAATGTGGGTCATCCCCACTCAACAGCTTCTCCTCCTGTTCTGGGGACTTTATTGCACTGTTTGCCTTCTAGCCCTGTGGAAACTGGTGGTGGCTTTGTGTACCAGGGGAAGAGTGTGTAAAAATTTCCATGTCACTCAGCTTTTACTTACTAGTGCATCTTTTTACAGCTAGATAATGCAGAGGACATAAAGAAGTTTCTTTTGCCAGTGAGCTCAAAGTCTATTTGGGGAGACCAACAAAAAAGACCAGCAGAAAGTCATGGCCCAGCCTGGCATGCCACAGGCCTGTCACCCAGCTGAAGTGTCCTTTTCTAACATCTGTGTCCTTCTACCCCTGTGACTCATGTACCTGGGCCTAATTTCCAGGTCACGAAGCCCGGAAAGTGGGTGAATGTATATGAAGACTCCACCACAGTGACCCTTGGGGTGACCTCCTCAGTGCCTTCCTTGCCACTCCCCAACGTCCTCCTGATGGCCAATGTCACCTGGCCTCAGCTCTCCACCTGGAACACACCTGGGGTTGCCCCAGTCATCACGCTGAGCAGGTAAAGAAAGGCTGGAGAGGGTTGGGGGTGGGGTGCTGACTGGTTTGTACATCATTCTGCAACTGGGTTTTGTTGTTGTTGTTGTTGTTGTTTGGTCTTTATGAGACAGGGTCTCCTTAGGCAGTTCAGGCTGGCCTTGAGCTCACTCTGTAGCCCAGGCTGGTCTCGAACTCGAAATGATCCTCCTGCCTCAGCCTCCCGAGTGCTGGGATTACAGGCGTGCGCCACCATGCCCGGCCTGCAACTGGGTTTTAGATCAGAAGGAAGGACAGTGGTCTTTTCATTTTGGTTTGTTCTGTTTTTTTTTCACCAGGAATATCAGATAATTTATAACCCAAATGAAGGAGGAAATGGAGAGGTAGTAAAGCATTTCACTCATGAAATAAATCATGAGAATAACTAAATTGATGATTATATTATAAATACTTGATATATTACAAATACATAATATATTACAAATTATTTTTCTTATTTATTTGTGCTGAGAATTGAACTCAGGACTTTGTGCTTGCCAAGCAGGCATTGTGTTGTTGAGCCATATACCCAGCAATTTCATTTTATTTTATTATTTTGTTTTGTTTTGTTTTGTTTTTTGGTCTTTTTGAGATAGGGTCTCACTATGTAGTTCAGGCTGTTCTTGAGCTCACTTTGTAGCCCAGGCTGGCCTCGAACTTGCAACGATCCTCCTGCCTCAGCCTCCCAAGTGCTGGGATGACAGGTGTGTGCCACCACGCCCAGCTTCTGTTTTTTAAAATTAGATCTTATTGGTACATTTTAGATATATAATGATCACATTCATCATGGAGAATTTGTACCTGTACATGATATAACTTGGGTTTTTTTCCTCTGTTCCCGTGCCCTCCCTTCAACCCCTCCTCCCTTCCCCATTTACAAAGCTTACAAATAATCTTATAGATGAGAAATTTTTGAATTTGCTTACTGAGGAAGTAGTACCTAGAGACAAAGGTCTGACTCATAAAACAAATACCCTCCTTTGCTGAATCAAATCCTCCTTTAAGCATTACGCATGTCACTGAACCCCAGTGACGTGTGCGGTACAGCCATCATATCCCGCAGCTTCTTCTAGTGCCAGGAAATATAGATTCCAGTTTCTACATATAAGCAGTTCAGTTTCTTCTGGTCTGAATAAGTACTTTAAGGAAGACTCACTGGTCATCATATGAAAACTGCAAAATGTCTGGATTGTTTTTCCACTGATTTATTGAGAATGTAGTCCAAATAGAGAGACACATTCCTTCCTGTTTCCACTTGTAATTAACGACAGTGTTCATTAGCCTGTAAGCCACGTAGAACCCCTTTATGCATTCATTTAACAAATATTTAGCTAGCATCTATATGTACCAAGCACTGTGCATGGTGCTGGAGATGGAGCACTATACAGTTGCAGTCTTGCCAGGTATAATGTCACATGCCTGTAGTTCCAGCACTTGGGAGGCAGAGGTAAGTGGATTGCCACAAGATTGAGGCCAGCCTGACCTACATGAAAGAGACCCTGTCTCAAAAAGACAAAACAAAACAAAAAAACCAAAAACCTAAATAACAAAAACCAGAATGGTT